GGACACGAGTCTTGTGAGAATCTCCGAGACGACATGCACACAAATTCAGTTTTCGACACATTCAAAAGTAGGAAATTACAAGACATCCAATCGCTAACGTCTTGAATACATGTCTGAAGTATCACCCGGGCGCGAATTTGATCATCTTCAGAAACCGATAAATAAATCTGTGTGTCATCGGCGTAAAAATGATATTTTACGCCGTGACGTCGCAATAACTCGCCCAATGGACGCATGTACATTGAGAACAATAATGGCCCTAAGACGGAGCCCTGTGGAACACCGGTTTCTAATATAGACGTCATATCAGAAAATACATTTCCAATTTTCACTTTTTGAATGCGGTTACTCAAATACGACTCAAACCATTTGATGATGAGACCATTTAAACCAAAATTTGATCTCAACCTATCGATGAGAATCCTGTGATTCACAGTATCAAAAGCGGCTGAAAGATCCAAAAGTACGAGAGCAACTGAATTCTTAGAATTATCAATACTGCAATACTGCAAATTAACAAAGAAATTATAAAATAATATGGAAAAATATTGAAAAAGTTAAACCCAAATGTTGGCAGCATTCCAAGGGTTACATTTGTTAGAAATATTTGGTTAATTGCTAGCTACATGTAGAGTACTGTAAAAGACTTTATTTTACCTGGAATTTATTTTCGCTGAATAGACTTTTTGGGTGTTTTGTATGGAGTTTATATTTACTGATTTTTTGATGAGTTGAATATAAAATATAGGAACAACAGTATATATTTAGTGGATTTTATTTTCACTGAATCATTCCTTCAGCAAAAATTAATTCCAAGTGAAATCAAAGAAAGCTTAGAAAGAACTCCCGTGTGCTGAGAGTATTGAAGACATATTAAAAATTAATTCAAAATTACTTGTACTTGAGATATTGATGGAATAGCTGAAAACTAATTATGTAAATCAGGTAACTGATATGAACAGATTTAAGTGTAAAACTAATAAGGTCTGCACAATGTACCAAGTTTCATTGAAATGTGATTAGAACCCAAAAAATATTAATTATTATGCTAATTAGAGAGTTAATATGAACAGATTTTAACCCAAAATTAATCAGGCTGCCTATTGTCCTAGAGCATTTATGTACCAAGTTTTATTCAAATGTGATGATCAATACTTGAGATATCAGTATTAATTAATTATGTTAATTAAGTGATTAAGAAGCATACATATTTACCAAAAACTAATATGGTGTATAGTCCTAGTTCATTGAAATGTGATGGGTACTCTTTAAAAGTTTCATTGAAATCCAATGAGTGGTTTGTAGACATCAGTGCACAGCCATAGAACAGCAAAACATTAACCTCATTATGCAATTAGT